GTGCTCTGCAGACCCTTCAGATGCCTGGCACGCACTAGGTGCTCTGCAGACCCTTCAGATGCCTGGCACGCACTAGGTGCTCTGCAGACCCTTCATGTGCGTTGCCTGCTGCGTGTCCTGTGAGGAGGACAGGCCCAGAAATGGGATGTCTGTAGGCACAAGACGCTCTCTTCCTCTAGACCGGCAATTGTCAACTCTTGGCTGACACCCTATCTGCTGCAAACATGAAATGCTCTGTAAACTGGTGACTGTGTTTTAACCAGGCACCAGGTATTTAGTACATGGTAGATGGTGTGACTCCTGGAAGCCTTTTCTGGTTAATGAGAATGACTGGAGGAAATACTGGAAGTTTCAAGTACTTGAATTTTCACATATGGGAGAAACAGCCCCCAGTCCTGTGTGGTGACTGACGATAAACATGTATTCTGGTCATTGTGTTTAGTTTGGAAAATGGGATGATGTCCCATGCTGGGCCCCGAGAGGTGCAGAGGGCAAAAAAGACCTGGCACCCCCTGGGGACAGAGAAACTGCAGAGCCATTGTGAGAACAAGTTGGCACACACCCAGAGGCAAAACAGACAACGTATGGTTTTGTTTTCCTTCTGCCTTAGCAAGTCGTATTTCTTTTAACACTTCAAACTGTCAAATAAAATTCCACTGGTGCAAGCTCTTTTGAAAAGCCCATTGTTGCTCATCCTGCATCCTCCATATGGCTGGCTGAGCAGTGGTGGCTGCTGTGTGGAAGCCTTGCATGCCTTCCCTGGTCCTGGCCTAAGTGTGGATGAGACTTGGTGAGAGTCTGGGAGAGAAGCTGTGCACAAGAGGCCTGGCTCTGCAGCCTTCTTCACTGGCTTTGGCCCCCATCCTTGCTTTGTGAGGCGGGAGCTTTGTTGTGCTTTGGTGAGAAACAAAAACACATACAACAGAGGCTTGGGAGCATTAAGGAAATGACAAAGGCCTCCCATCTTGAGCCAGATCTAGAGAGATTTTTCTTACCAAGACTTGCAATTAGTTCTTTTTCATCACACCAATAAATACATGGTAGTGGCTCTGCTCAAATCTGTTACTGACCATAAAGGTGGAGATATCTTAGCATATGGTACATAAATGGAGAGATAATAGACAGACAGACAGATAGTAGAGAGATAGATAGATAGATGATAGGTAGATAATAGACACACACATGCTTTCATACACAGATGATAGATGAATCAATGGATAGATAATTTTATATTCTGAAATTCAGAATAATCTCTAAAACTGAAGGACAGATCTGTGGACACTTGGGTATTCTGGGAAAATCACTTGAATGGGAACCTTTATTCTTTATTCTTCCTGACATTCCCCATCTACTGCTTCTGTCTTGTTGTCTGAGAGTGGACCTGCCCTTCCATCCCAGGGTGTGTCACCTGCCAGGATTCCCCAGGAAGTAGACCACAGTTGGCCTTTCATTTACATTCTAAACATTTTGCTGCCTGAAGATTTAAAGAAACAACACAAACCATTGGTTTTCTTACTGTACATTAGTAATTACATAAAGAAACAGATTGATGAAGGGAAAAGTTACATAAAGGAAAGAGTACTGAAATACATGAGCACATAGATGCATGATACATCTGCTTATGATTGTAAAAATGGAAGGTCTTGCAAAAAGGCCATACATTTGTTTCTTGGTGTAGTATTATGATGTATCTACTGTTGGCCTCAAAATGTGTTTGGTTTCAAGGGAGATATTTTTATCGGGATAGCAGTGGTAAATGTAGGTAATTTGATTTAGATCATGAAATTGTCGTCTTGCCTACATCTCACTGGATGACAAGCGAAGTGCTTTTTGGAGCATGAATCTCCCTCTTTGAGGAGGGTGGGGGTCCCTGCTTCCAGAGCTCCAGTATCAAAATCAGCCATACCTGCCAGGCTCCAGCAGAGGTTGAGCGTCTGACTTCCCTTTCCCCTCATTTCTGTGTCATCCCTGGGTAGCAGCTGCTCTCTAGGCTCTCTCTTATTTAAAAAAAAAGATAGTTTGCTAATGAGATATTACATTGTCTGTACAGCACATGTTTGAGGAAAATCTAAGAACCTAGATGTTCTGAATATTGTAATAGCTTCTAGAAAAGGAGCCGCTGTTTCATGTCCAGGTATGAAAGAGGTTGTAAAAGACTCGGGATCTTTCCCTGCTCCAACATTTTAAAGATGAAATTTTCACTATGAAATTTAAATTCCACTTGTGAAATATATAATGAATCACCAGACTTTTGTTAAATTTCAATAAATGGCTTTAGTTGAGAGCAGGTTTTTATAGGTTCTTTCTGTGACTCTCTGATCACAAAGTCCATGCTGTTGAAGGGAGGTGATCTAAGCCCTGGAGGATGCCCTGGAGTAAGCCCTGGAGAACGCTTATTAGTGCTGAGGGAAGGCTGGGCCTCCTGCTACCTTACTTCTGTATACCTGAACTCTGCACACTGGCATTTGAGATTCTGTATTCTCGTCTGTAAAACACAGAGTCAGGGCCTGGAATTGAGATTCTGTTACCCTTCTCTGGTCACCAGGACATAAGTGTCCAGCTGCCTGAGTGACTTATCTCTGAAGAGTTCTGAATGACCAAGACCCTTAAGATACTTACAACCCATTCCCCAGCATGTGTGTTATGGGAACATCTGGGCCACTCTGGTCAGCTATGAATTCCTGTGCCCTCTCAGAATGGGTGGGAAGACAGGATGCAGGTGAAGATACCCCCAGCCCCTACCTCCAACTCTGAGAGTCCCATCCTGATGTATGCATTTAGTTGAAATAGGGAATCCTAACACTGACCAACAAAACTCTTTGGAACATTATTATCCAATCTGTAATACCTTAATATCTTCTATCCAGGGCCAAGTCCAACGTGATATTCATCAAATGCAGATTATTATTACCATCACTTCTGTTTCGGGGAAAAAAAATGTTCTATCCTTTCTTAATACAATGGCATCAGAGGACATTATATATATTAATTTCTACTTAAACTTCTATTAATGCATAAATTTTATGCATATTATTTATATATATGTGAATATTGGTAATATTTTATATTAATTATCTTTGGAATGTTTGTATTTACTTTTTCATTGTTTTGATCGTAGCAGTTAACTGTAACAGTATTTACGAGATCAAGTTTTATTGAGTATCTATTACAGAACATGCATTTTCCTATTGGTTATCGAATGTATGTTTATCTCTGAGAAGAGTTTTCATTATTGCTCCCACCTGAAAAAGGAAAAACTCAACATGAAATGGATTAATAAAATTTTCCTGGTACCAAGTTGCCAGTGAGTGACCAGACCAGACCTGACTTAGAAGCACAAATAGAACTTTTAAGAGTTTGACACATTTGCATAATTTGTTTGAAAAAAAAACAAAAGAACCTTCAGCATACCTGCTTGATTGGTAGATTTATTACACGCAGTTTTGACCAAATGCAGTCAAAAATTGCACATCAAATAGAAATTTCTAGAACAAAACACTAAAATTCCCCCCATGCTCTATGAGCAGCTTGGTGGATGTGAGAGGCACTCATCCAGTCAGTCCCTCATCGAGGGGCTGCTGAGCAATTCCCTTCCCACGGGTTGTGGGAGCAAGAGGTGCCCAGAGGTGAGGGAACAGCTCCTAGGCTCAGTTCCAATGATACAGTGATTTGTTGCTGCACGGCTGTAGTAGAGGTTGGGCAGTGCTATGGGGAAAATGAGGTAAGAATCTACAGGACAATGCTAAACGCTTCCCAGTGTCCATAGATTTCCCTCAGTGGAGATCTCTTTGGAACCACGGATTGAAGGTTATCAAGGGACTGCTGGACTTTGCTCTGTTCCTATGTGATCTGAAGGACATCGACAGAAAGAGGAAGTTCTGTCTGAACTAACCCTATTCTGGTCCATGGTCAAACTTGATTTTTATATTATTTTCTTGCTGCCAATCAATCACATTACCATGAGCATTGAAATTAATTGACAGTAAACCCACACTTCTCTTAATCTTAAGCCTATGTTTTAGCTGAGACTTAGAACACAGGAAAGATGAAAAACAGGACATGTTTTGCTTTAGGGAAGGGATTTCTTATTTAATTAATATAACCAAAGTTCCATAAAGGGATAGCCAGTTTTGAAGAGTCACATCCAGCAAAAAATAATTTAAAATGAGAAACAGATTTAGCATTGCCTGCCCTGTATTTCTTACTGAAATATCACACAGACCAAGCATAAAGCAGTTTACCAAAAGCAGAGTGTTAACGTATCAACAAGGACCATCATAGGACAGGAATTTATTTCCTAAATACATAAGTATTGCACCCCAGAAGGCCCAGAGAGGTCAGGAATAAAAGCTATTCTGATCAGCAGACACCATCAAAGGGATTCAGTGGAGGTTATTCTTGATGGGGATGGGTTTATGCATGAGATTAAGCATATTCGGTGGCTGCAGCTCCTTCAAGTCAAACTCACGTAAAACTGCACTCTCTTTTCCCTTCCCCTTTAAATTTCATTTAGTGACTGAAAAAATGCACATTCCTCCTCACCAGTTGCAGTGGTTGAATGAAATAATCTGAAGTATTTTCACATAAGATGCTCTGGATCACCTTGACCTTCATGAAGAAGGTGACAGGAATGAACAATTCCATTACATCAAGGTTGTAACATGCATTCACTTCTGTTTGCAGATATTCTTCTC